GGGCTACAATGCAGATTCTTTGATGAATATTGAGAGACAATTGACCAAATTTTATCAAGTTGCACGGGCTTGGCACCCACTGAATATAAAACCCGGCGTGACACAGTCGGCCAATATTTTCTTTGAAAAATCTGCAAATTTTACGGAAAAGAAACTGCAAGAAATTGGTATGGGCACCACCTAGACTCGGTTACAGAGATAGGACCTGTAACAATTTTATGGGACTTTACAATACACACTGACAGAACAATCAAAGCTAATCACCCAGACATCGTGATCAGAGATCGCAAAGACAAAATATCCCTTCTTCAAAAAAACTATCAAAATCTCAAAATTCCAATTGTAGGTGGAGCCCTCGGATTGATTGGAAAAGATTCCAATAGCCTTTGAAGGGATTCCTGGTAGCCCAGGCGTTAAAGAAATACAAAAATTGTACTCGTAAGTACGAAGGGCTTTATCTATGTAAAATATGTTCGAATTTTTTTTTCAGTGGAAAATGTAATGATGCTATTTCTGAGCTTAGGTCTCTGGTCGGGACCCGGAAAGAAATAAGTATGCACTAGAAATCAAATGAAATAAAAATATTAATAATAATAAACAAATAAAATGATTGACGTAACTCTTCCAATATTTTTCAACAGTTTAGAGAAGAGAGCGATTCAAGATTTTATCTATCTATCTATCTATCTATCTATCTATCTATCTATCTATCTCAAATAATAATAATAATAATAATAATAATAATAATAATAATAATAATACCTCACGAAGAGCGTTATCTATGTAAAATATGTGCGACTTATTTTCTTTGTTTTTTCTCAAAAAATGCTCAGTGGAAAATGTCATGATGCCATTTCTGACCATAGGTCTCTGGTTGGGACCCAGAAAGAATAATAATAACAACAGAATGAAATAGGAGGAAGAATTGAATAATGATGATGATGATGATGATAAATGAAATATGAGGAAGAATTCAATAATAATAATAATAATAATAATAATAATAATAATAATAACAGACTGAAATAAGAGGAAGACTTGAAAGATGATGGTGATGGTGATAATGATGTTGATTGTTGTGCCGCGTTAAACCGTCGGCTTTGAAACCGTTCTGCCCGCTGCCCGGTTGACTGACAAAGAGCAAATTGTAATTTCTCAACAAAAGAATTTCTTTTGCAGCGTTGGGGGTTCTCTTGGGGGTTTCGAGAGAACAGCAAAGAATTTAGAATTTAGAAATTCTGTCGCGAAATGGGAATGGTATGAGCCTCTTGGCATTTGCGAATGGTGGCGCCCAGTCAATGCGACTGCACGAAGAATTCGAATGAGTCCTAGTTGCGCGCACGTGCTCACTTCTGCAAAACCGCGATCCCCCATCCCCCCTCGCGGAAAAAAAAAAACAAAAACATTATAGACGTCGATGATGAACGACATGCAAATTTCAATCTCGATCAACGTCAACAAAAATTTAAAAAAGATCAAAGAAAAAGGATCAAGAAAATAAGCACCCGTTAAGAAAATAAATGGTTACGATTATTTTTATCCTTCTTTTTATTTTTTATTAATTATACATCAACCAGTAAAAGGCCCAAGGGCCACTCAGGTGAGATTTTTAGGGAATGTAGAAGTAAGAGAGTAATATGAGGATGAATCGGATAGATATAGGTTGCCCTGTACTTAAGGAAACCAAGTTTGTATTTGCCAGGAAAGCATTCTCTCAGGAGTTTGTTCCACAAAGTAACAGTTCTGGGAAAGAAGCCGTCTGGGTGGAAATTGCTTTTTATTAAAGAAACACGAAGGGAAATTTAATATGAGCGGAACTGACCAAACATGGTGTTAAAAGCCGAAAACCTTGATTTTATTTTGATTAAACCAGACGGAATAAGGAATCAATGATATCTTAGTTTAAAAGAGTAGATATAAAACTTTAATCCGTTTGAATTAAAATGATTACAAGCAACTTTTGATTGCGTTTCCTATTTCATTTATCACAAATTTATAAGCGTCGCTATTCAAAATATCCTAAGAAATTTCTATGTAATTTCGGGACATCTCAATCGAACACAAAACTATCTTAAATAATTTTAAATAGAAAATTCAGAAACTTTTGAGACCTCGTAACATTTTGCAAAACGAGGATGAATCATTAAATCCATAACCAGATAGTTTCTTCCCAATAACCTCTACCTTAAGGAACAGGCTCCCTCCTGGATGCTTCCCTGAACACTACAATCTTATCATCTTCAAATCTAGGATCTTTCGTTATCTATTCTTCATATCTTCATAATCTTCGCTTTCTCCCTTTTACGTTCATATCACCCCACCCCACTTTGTAATCCTCTACCTTGGGTGACTCTTGAGCCTTATATTAGACAGACATTAATTAAAAACAGATATTTAACTGAAATTTTGATCTGAAAATTTCCGTTTATAATGTTCGATCTATATGATAGACATTCTCTGGTGAATTAAGTGCATTGACAAGAAGGAGATTATGCTGAAAAATAATTATTTGTTTGTCAAAATAAATAATTAGTAACCAGTAGACTTATTGATGTACCTACATACAATTTTCTTTATTGTCTTTATTCCAACTACTTTCGGTTATCTTAATACAGCTAAATGCCAACTAGTTAGAAGAATGTGTTGCGCCATTTTTCAAGATGAAGTGATGCTGCCTTTTTTCATTGAATATCATCATTAAAAATCACATTTTTTTTTTACTTATACTCCAATACTAAATGCGAGCAACAAAACACTCAAACTTCTTAACCACAAGTCACTGTAATATGATGTTAGAACAGGCATTAAATATCACAGCACTCAATAGAAGATGCCAGGTGCATCAACGTGTTCTCGTGCATGTAAACCACTCCACCCACCGCCACCACAGCTACATTCGGTTTGTATGCGGTGGGAATGACAAGCACGGGGGAGTTGGATATAAACGACCATTCCAGAGAGGATTTGGGTAGTCTCCCAAACATAGCAAACGAAAATGTAAGGGCCACGTATCGGACACACACACACACACACACACACACACACACACACTGGCCGAGAGTAATTGATGAAGTTGTAGAGTGAATGAAATATAAAATCTGAAGAATTCAAATCCACACGCGTTATCATCAATCGGCACATCTACTTCATTACATTATGTGCAATCTAATTCTAATTATTGTAATGAACTTGATGGTACCGTATAAACTAATGTATGCAATCTGCCTGCAGAAATGTGTGTAGTATATAAATTAAACGATCTAAGTCGTATAATTGCTATGACAGTTTCGAGATCAAAGACAGCAATCAGTTAATATGTTAAGAAACAATATCTGATGGTAACAATACAAAGTATTATTTAAAAAAAATGGCATTACTTAAATTGATTAGTCCGATCTTAAAAATACAGGAAATTTTTTTCTGGGGGATATAATTGTTGCATATTACCATTCGTTAAAGATTCCTCTAACCTGGACATTTATAAAAATCGAAAAATGTTTTTTTTTATCATTTTAGAAGGGGGACCTTTTATTTTTGTTATAATAATTTTCTTAAAATATCCCACACTAATGTATATATCCGTTTGCTCTTTATATAAAAGAAATCTGCTTGTGAAAAGAAAAAAAATTGCATTCGACAGAAGATATTTTTAAAAAATTTGATGGGGAGGAGGAGGCAAATCCGTAATCCGGTATTAGGGTAAAGGATAGCATTGATTAACATAGGATATCAATAACATTCAGTCAATTTCAAACTCGGCATTTATAAATAAGAACTAGGTACAGATAACTAAAAGACTGACAATCTCATGGTCTTTCTCTTCGACCCTCCTGAATTATGCTGATTATTTCTTGTTGGTATGTGTCTGGGGGTTACTGATTATGATTTTTGCCCACATCCCGGTGTTGTAGGTATCGGACGATCCCTTTCTTCTCAGTGTATATGGATGGTGAGAATTGAAGTTAAGCTATTATCGGGTTGTGATATACGGATGTATTCACCTCATTCTATGTACTAGTTGTTATTACATACAGGGCGTGTAGCTGATTATTTTCTTCTTCCATACCAGTTCTCCACTGCCTTAACCGGCACTATTTGGGTCCTGTCACTCGATCTAACCAACGCCTTTATCGACTGTGTCAGGTGTCCTTGAGGTTAAGGCAGTGGAGAACTTGGAGAGGGAAATTAACAGGAGATAACTGATAACTGACATCCATTAAAACCATGGCACGTGGAACTAGAACAGTCTACCCCAGTGAGCGAAATAAAGGTTCAGTTCGACATTCGAACCACCCGAAAAAGGCTGGAGCGTATAACGGCCGAAACGTTGTAATAAATATGCCGACAAGGATGAGGACAGTAGTCCGAACAATGGAAATAATATCCAGTGAGATACAGAAAACGATGACATTTGAACAGTTCTGATCAGTTTGTTCAAAATCTTTCAAATTTTGAGTAGCTTCTCGTACGTCAGCTAAGTGAGACCACGAACTGAACAAAGCGCGTTTAATCGATTGAACTCGATTTAGTTTCTCCAATCGATTACTGGAATTTGTGAATCACATGTTACTAGATTAGCATACCAAATAAATTTCAAGATTTAAAAAAGATTTAATGTTAGTAGAATTCTTACGTGAACAAATCTCTAGCAGGTTTAGGAGTGATAACAAAAATGCAAAACTTATTAAGAGCGAGAAGAGACAAGAAATTGTGGAGAGCCATGATCGACAACATCCTTAAGGGACACGGGACATTGAAGAAGAATATTTTTTCATCCTTGCTCGTCCTTCCAACTTTGGTGTATAGTTTAGGAGACATAACAAAAAGACAACATTTATTAAGAACCACAAAGCACAGGGAATTGTGGAGAGCCATGATCATCAACGCCCTTATGGATATGGTACATAGAAGAAGCACAGTCTCTTCCGCTACAAAACAAACAAACCAAAAATCTTTATTTTAAAAATATAGACAGAAAGAAACAACCAAAAATCCTTCTCTTAGAAAGAAAGAAAGAAAGAAAGAAAGAAAAAAAGAAAGAAAGAAAGAAAGAAAAAAGAAAAGAAAGAAAAGAAAGAAAAATCCTTTTTCTTAGAAAGAAAGAAAAGAAAGAAAGAAAGAAAGAAAGAAAGAAAGAAAAATCCTTTTCTTAGAAAGAAAGAAAGAAAGAAAGAAAGAAAGAAAGAAAAATCCTTCTCTTAGAAAGAAAGAAAGAAAAATCCTTATCTTAGAAAGAATGAAACAAACCAAAAATCCTTCTATGGAAAGAAAGAAACAAAAGTCCTTCTATAGAAAGGAACAAACAAACGAAGAATCCTTCCCTTAGAAAGAAACAAACGAACCAAAAATCTTTCTCTTAGAAAGAAAGAAACAAAAATCCTCCTCTTAGAAAGAAAGAAACAAACCAAAAATCTCTTACAAGGAAACAAAAAAGCCAACGCCTAATGCATTCCTTCCTTTTCTGACGTTAATTGTCGTTAATAGTTCGAGTCAGATGAAGATTAGTCAGAGGCTTAGTACGTCTTTGCCAGCCAGCATCGTTGACCTACCGATGACTGTTCGTTGGGATTACTCTGGCGACGATTTATAGTAGATCCTTTGGAAAATTTATCATTTTTTTTGTGACGTACAAGAGAAGTGAAAAAGGCGTATGTATCAAACTGAACTAAAGATCGAGTGCCATTTCGTTTTGTCTTTTATTACCGGAGCTTCAGTTGAAGAAATCTAAAATCATAGATGATACTTTATGTTTTGTTCTCAATATCTGTCCATATAGCTTTTACGCATACTATATTCTATAACCAATTTCTCTTTCATTGCCTCTCTCTACACACGTTTCATTCTATACGTGTACCTCACCACGTCTTTTTGTCTACAACAGGTTATATTTACACGGCCTCCGCACCAAGGCAGGGTGTGACACAAAGTCATTTTAAAATGGGGAATGTATCCATCCATTTTTAATATTTCGAGAATCAGTTGATGTAAATAGGAACCCAACAAGAAGATGCAATGTTGCTATGAATGCGGTCATTTGCATGTGTGGGGTCTGGATTAGGGTTAAGAGAAAGCAGCGTTGTTGAGTGAGAAATACTGCTGCCATATATGGGTAGGAGCTGCACAGTCTTCACTTTCTGTTGTAGTGTCACCCTTCTAAAGTGTCTATGTTGGACTCTTCCGCCTACTATAAGATTAGTAGGAGAGAAGGCCTTGGAGCAACAGTCAAATAGTTCTGTTCTCACGGTGCTGGTTAAAATCTCTGCCTCCAGGCAGAGATGATCCCCAGACGAAGCTATGTCGAAAGGCGGAGTCTCGTCTCGGGAAACAGCTACCCGGTCCCGTTTTATTCGGGGTCTATGGAGAATTTTTGCCGAGCCTATGGGCTCGGATTGCCCCACATTAAACTCGGCTTTGTGCCACATTCTACCGCGTGGGGAGGCTGGTAAATATAACAGTTGAATAGATCTGTTCGCAATGTGCTGGTCAAACTCTCTGCCTCCGGGAAGAGATGATCCCCAGACGAAGCTATGCCGAAGGGCGGAGTCTCGTCTCGGAAAAAAGCAACCCGGCTCCGTTTTATACGGGGTATATGGGGAATGTTTTGCCGTGCCTACGGGCTCGGATTGCCCCACATTAAACTTGGCCTTGTGCCACATCCTACCTCGTGTGGAGGCTGGTAAATATCAACAGTCGAATAAAATGAACGCTACGTTAAACGACACACATATGTTAGGCGTGTAATACTCTTCTGTTGTACTTACTGTTTAATATATGATATATCTGTAAAACTTGTTTTGTTATTTCTTTAACCATTTACTTGGTCACAACATCTTGGATCACAACAGTTTCCAATCTCGATATAGTTCAAAAGCGTTTTCGCGTCCTTGTGGGTGATGAATTATTTTCCACCCTACACCACTTTCAAACATTGCAAGCTTCTCGCTATCTCTATCACTATAGTGGAAATAGCGATAATTTTCACTATTTCTAACCTTCACGGCTAAGACCCGCTAATCCACGCACGATGTAGCGAACCATCCTAATCTCCTTCTTATTCCATTGGTGAGATGTAATTTCCAATCAAGCAGTATCTTCCCTCGAACCGCTGTGTATTGTGGGACCAACTCCCAAGAGGATGCTTCCCGATAACTACAGTCTTAACCTGTTCATGTCTACGGTGATACACACACACATACACACATGAAATGCCACACTATCTTCATTTTATTTTTCCCTAATCTCGTTGACGTGATACCTTCAAGGGAGCAGTTGTTTGTGCGGAATACCAAGGGCGACTCTCATGTACATGTTAGTATGAAGCCAAAGAGGAGGAAGAAGGAAACGCTCGAGGAGAGGACGAAAGTGAAAAGTGTGAGAAAATGAAAGAAAAACAGCGAAGGACAGAAGAAATAGAAGAAGGAAAATGGAAAAAAAAGAAGAGAAAAAAGAGAGAGAAAAAGTCAAGTGGAAAGGGACAAAAGAGAGAGAGAAGGAAAAAGTACGTGAAGAAAGAGGAGAAAGGAAAAATAGAATAAAGACACGTGAAAAAAAAGAGGAAAGAAAAGAATGTGAATAAGAGGGAGAAGATAGAAAGGGAGTAAAAGGGGGGAAAGTAAAAAGACTGGGTAAAATGAAAGGAGGAAAGTGAAGAAATAAATGTCTAAGAATAAGCGATAGGAAAAGATGAAAAAAATAGAATAGGAGAAAAAAAGAAAGAGAAGAAGAAGAAGAAGAAGAAGAAGAAGAAGAAGAAGAAGAAGAGAAAAAGGCACGTAAATAAGGGGAGAAAATGTAGGAAGAAAAAACGACAAAATCGAGATGAAAGAGAAAGAGGAGGAAAATTATTTGTAAAAGAACTGGAAGCGAGCGAGTGAGAGAGAGAGAGAGAGAGAGAGAGAGAGAGAGGGAGGGAAGAGGAAGGGGGAAAGTCAGAAACGTAGGGAAAAGAGAAAAAAAATGAAAAAAGACGAAGAGGATGTAGATTAAAATTGCGGAGGGGTCAAGAAAACATATGTAGTATTCATCCAGTACCACACACACACACACACACACACACACACATATCTATCTATATATATATAAATATATATATGCGTGTAGATATTTCTTCCATCATTACAGAAGCTTTGTATCCTGGTTTGATGTCTTTCGTATTTTATCTTCTCTGATTGGCATTCGACATGAGTAAATCCATTTCGTGTCTGGTTTGTCACTAATTGTGGCACTCAATCATAAGGAAATTATCCTTTGTGTTTACTCAGATCACCACGGATTGTAGATTCGAAAAAGGAGTTTTACTTTCAACAAATGCGAAGAGTCGTGCGTAATTCAGTCGAAATGGTTCTCGACGTTTGCTTTTTCCTTTCTTTTTCCTTCTTCATAACTCAAGAGAGCGTTTTTTTTTCTTTCCTGGAACGGGAGAGACAATACCTAACTATCACAACAGAATGGCATCTCGCAACATCTCTCTCTCTCTCTCTCTCTCTGTCTCTCTCTCGCACCACGCGCTCTCGTTTCTCTTGCTCTATCCAACACGTGTAGTCAAATCCTTGCACACTTGACTGATTTGTGCCGCTGATCGAATCCGACTGCGAGCGTAAAAAGCGGAGAGCAAACTAATGTTGGTCGAATGAGATGAGCCATTTTCATTGGGTGGGGGGAGTGGTTCTTGTTTAGTTTTGTTTCCTCAAAGAATGGTTTTGTTTGTTTCTGAAGAACAATGCAACTGACGTGGAATGCGTTCTGGAAACGGTTGGTTTCTGTTACCTTCTGCAATTCTTTCATTCATCAAAACCGTGTCAAGAAATTTCCATCTTTCTTCGACATTCACTTCCTCTTTTACTTTTCTCAATTTACTTATACGTTTTTCATTTCTTTCTCTCTCTCTTTTCAATATTCATTCGGACACTTTTATTTTTTAGTTCTGTATATTCTTTCTTTCTTTCTTAATATATCTTTTTCTTTCATTTTTTTTTTCTATATCTTTCTTCTTAATATTCTTTTCTTCTTTTACCTTTCTCAATTTACTTACACGTTTTTTTCTTTTCTCTTTTCAATTTTCATTCAGACACTCACTTTTATTCTTTCGTTTTGTACATTCTTTCTTTCTTAATACATCTTATTCTTTTTTCTTAATATATCCTTTTCTTTCTTTCTTTCTTTCTTTCTTTATATTTCTCTTTTTTCTTTCTTTTTTTCTTTCTTAATATATCTTTCTTTCTTTCCTTTTTTCTTTCTTAATATTTCTCTTTCTTTCTTTATTAGATCTTTTTAATATATATTTTGTTGTTTCTTAATATATTTTTCTTTCTTTCTTATTATATATTTTTCTTTCTTTCTTTCTTTCTTTCTTTCTTTCTTTCTTTCTTTATTTTTTTGTGCCATTCTCCTTTTCCTCCTCCTATATTTCTTCCTTCTCTTTCTCATCTATTTCCTTTCATATTCTTTCATTTAATTTTTATTCCTCCCACATTAAACACAGATACCATCCTTATATCTCCTCTTTTTCCCGCTATTTTAGTCTTTCTTCCTTTTCACCCGCTCTTTTTACAATTCTGTTTTTCTTTACTCCTTCTTTTATATCCTTTTAATTGGTTTTCATCCTCATCCTTACATTTTTCTTTTCTCTCCAGTATCAATTTGCCGTTTACCTCTCTTTCTATGATCATTATTCTCCTTCTACGTCTCTTTCTTTCTTTCTTTCTTTCTTTCTTTCTTTCTTTCTTTCTTTCTTTCTTTCTAATATATTTTCTTTTTCTTAATTTTTACCCTCCCCTAATGCAGATCAAGTTAACTCACTCCACCGCCAGCAAAGAAAATTCACGAAACTCACAAGGAAGACAATCTCGATGTTGGCTATCATGGTGGGGGGATTTGCCAGTCGGGTGGCTAAGCACACCTGGCCAATGAACTTGCATTCTCACCTGTCAGTGGTATCAACATTCTTTTAGGCAGTGAGGTAGAGAAAAGCGATTTTAAGACATTTTTCTTCCGGTATAATTCGAGAAGAACAATCGTTTAGAAGACGGACATTTTGTTTTGGTTTCACAAGTGTGTCGTAAAAAAAAAGAGATTACAGAAATTTGTTTTTTTTATTTCGGATTTGTTTCTACCGTCCTTATCTTAGTAAAGTTTTCCTCTTTTTGATTTTACGATCTTATTCTTTGGTGTTTTAAACCAAACAGCATCTCAGCAGAATAGTAAAAGAGAATAAAACATATATTGACAAATTCGAATAAATAATGAAATTTAATAATAATAATAATAATAATAATAATAATAATAAAGTTTTAACATCCTTAACTGGACCATTGCTGACATTAAGCGAATGGACGCCAAAACGAGAAAGTTTCTCACCTGCTACGGCATGCATCATCCCAAAGCTGATATTGATCGTCTGTATGTGTCCAGATCCGAAGGAGGCAGAGGATTAGTTCAACTAGAACTGCCCTACAAAACTACAACTATTTGCCTTCAAAGATACCTGGAAACTACAGAAGAATGGATGATGATATGTGTCAAGGAACATGAAAGTAGGAATCGACTTTCTAACGTAATAAAGGAAGACAAGAAGTTCAAAATGGAGTTTCAAATGGGCGTGGAAAAACAAATAAAGCACAATAAACCGACTGAAGCTGCAAAATACTTAAAAAAGAAAGCAAAAGCAAATGCAACAGGCTAGATACAGAAACGATGACAAGATGAACCAATACTCTACCCGTACCAAACAAGCTGATGTAGACAAGCCACGTACCCTTCAGTGGCTACATAGTGCAGGGTTAAAAGCTGAAACCAAAAGTTTTATCCTTGCTGCAAAGGACCAATGCTTGCTAACTAGAAATTATCAAGCACACATACTAAAATAGTGTGTTAACCCCAAAATGCAGATTCTGTGATAAATATCCAGAAACAATTGATCATCTTGTATCACGTTTCACGTTATTGTTACACACTGAGTATAAAACCCAGCATGACAGAGCGGGCCAATATCTGCACTGGAAAATCTGCAACTTCTACGGAAAGGAAACTGAAAGAAATTGGTAGGAACACCACTAAGACCCGGTTAGGCAGATAGGACGTGTTACAATTTTATGGGACTGCACAATACACACAGGCAGAACAATCAAAGGTAATCACCCTGACATGGTTATTAGAGACTGCAAACAAAAAAGTGCCTCCTTATTGATATGACACTTCCTGTAGACTAAAATGTATCTTTGAAGCTACCAAAATACAAGAACCTTGAAATCGAAATCTCAGAAATATGGCAGATAGGAACATCAACAATCCCTGTTGTAGTTGGAGCCCTCGGATTGGTTGGAAAAGATTCCAGTAGACTCATTGAAGAGATTCCTGGTAGCTCATGCCTTACAAAAATACAAAAAAATGGTTCTCACAAGTACAGCCCACACCTTACGAAGGGCATTGTCTATGTAAACTATATGTTTTTTTTAATTGCTCAGTGTAAAATGTCATTTCTGACTTTAGGTCTCTGGGTGGGACCCGGAAAGAAATGAGTATACACCAGAAACTATGTTTAATGGATGTCAATTATCAGTTATCTCCTGTTAATTTCCTCTAAAGGTTCCACACTGCTTTAACCGGGTATTGAACTCACACTCTTTGGGTCCTGTCATTGGATCTAAGTAACGCCTTTATCCACTGTGCTATGTGTCCTTGGAGAACTTGGAGAGAGGAATTAACAGGAGATAACTGACATCCATTAGACATGGCACATTGGAACGAGAACAGCCTACCCCAGTGAGCGAAATGAAGGGTTTAGTTCGACATTCCAACCACCTGAAGAAGGCCGGAGCGTACAACGGCCGAAACGTTATAATAAATATGGCGACAAAGATGAGGACAATAGTCCGAATAATGTAAATAGTGTACATAATACCTCATCTCAGAAATATACAGATACTGAAGGGCTGAAACGTTGTAATAAATATGGCAGCAAAGATGAGGACAATAGTCCGAATAATGTAAATAGTGTACATAATACCTCATCTCAGAAATATAGACAGATACTGAAGGGCTGAAACGTTGTAATAAATATGGCAGCAAAGATGAGGACAATAGTCCGAATAATGTAAATAGTGTACATAATACATCATGTCAGATAATATAGACAGATACTGAAGGGCCGAAATATTGTAATAAATATGGCGGCAAAGATGGGGACAATAGTCGGAATAGTAAATAGTGTACATAATACCTCATCTCAGAAATATAGACAGATATTGAAAGAACATCAAATACACTTTCATTTTTCTCCATTTTCAATTTTAGCGTACAAACATTTAAAAGTCACAATCATCACACGAAATTATAGGAAGATGGGCTGAGCTTTTCAGAATATATCTAATTTTATATGAGATAAAGTTTTAGTCACGTTTTTAAAAACTATTATTAATAGAGGGTCTCTATCCTTATTTTTTATAATTAAGACTGGATTTTTTATTTCAATTTTGATAATTAATCGCGGTTAATGTGTTGAGATCCATCTTTGTTCTAAATCTACTGGGGCGATTATTAGATCAAGACATATTGAGACAGATATGCAGAAAGTATGTTAAATCGAGATATAGACTAATGATCCAAAGGTAGATATCCGCAATAGATACCCTGGGTAGATGACGATGTGAGCAAAGACGAACATATGGATACGATCAAATAAAAGTAATAGGATTGTTTTGCCTTACGGACGTTGTGGAGGCGTGACTGGTGGGTGGTTATGGGAGAGCCAGGGGAGGAGAAATGTTGCAGGGTGGAATGTCAAGAGGATTGCCCGGCAAAGGGGGGAATAAAAAAGAAGTGAGGGAGAGTGTGGGATAGGCCGAAGGGACGCATTGCAGTTAGCAATCAGTCGTTTCTGAGAGGGTCATACACTGAAGCAACGTGGGTGTTTCTCCTGCCAGGATACGTAAAAAAAACCCCAACAAATCCAGGGTTAATTCTTATATAAAAATGGATTTTTCTACCTCTTTCTTTCTCGCACGAACATATACTATAGACCAAATGTTAGGGGCCACTCTCTGGATTTAATAATTAAGAAAATAATATATATATATATATATATATATATATATATATAAATTAAGAGAATATATATATATATTCTCTTAATTATTAAATCCAGAGGGTGGCCTATCATTTGGTCTATAGTATATATTTGGTCTATATATATATATATATATATATATATATATATATATATAGGAGTGGACACTGAGGTCAACTTCGAAAAGAGACAGTCTGTTTTCATGCATGAACACAATATTCAGGCCATCGGCCAGTGAAATGAGATACCATATATATATATATATATATATATATATATATATATATATATATATATATATATATATATGGTCGCAGA